CTGTGCCACCTGCTATCTCCAGCCCATCAGCTCCCCGTTCTGGTGCCGGTGCATCAGTTTCACCCTTCAAAATGTCTCCTGCACCAACACGTACCCGTCATCCAGCTGTACCTGCAAATCCTGCTTTTTCCAGGCCAGCCACATGGAGTGCGCAAGCCTGTGGATTGGAAACTGAGGCACAGCTCCAGCACGTCAACTGCACAGCTCCCATATGAGGGCATATGATGAACTAACTACTGCCTGAAAGCCCTGCTGATGTGCCTCAGACCTATCCTGTACAATGCTCTTATTCCAGAGTCCTGAGGCTTTCCCAGCAGCCAGGTTCAACTGAACTGCTCTAAACCTCTGGGTCAGTGGGTGAAGCTCCAGCATGGTTTCCCTCCTTATACAGGGCAGGATTCAAGTCCCTGTGCTAAGAGGGCAACACGCAGCCATGCACAAACCACCTGAGGCCCCAGGACTGGTGCTGCTCAGTCTCTGAACGATGGCCACGTAGTATGCAGAAACCTGGGGGACCCTATGGCCCTAAACACACCTTTAAAGGTTTTGCTGTCGCAGTGTTTGATGTAACTGGAGCAACTACAGAAGCTCAAGAGCAGAAATAAATGGATTAAAAAGTTCAGCCACATCTAAGAGGAGTGGTCGGACAGCCAGGCAACATGAACTTCCAAAGGGGACGGTCACCTGAGCCACCATGCTGTACCGCTTCTGAAAGGAGCCCTGAGATCTCTCGGCCTCAGAAGGCACCCAGCATGGCTGTTGCGTGGTCACCCACGCAGGGTCCGCAGGACTCCCACGGCTCTTCTTGCTCCCTTACGACCCACCACCTGGCCGCACCGTGTCAGCCCAGCTATGCTGCGCTCACTCTTTGGAAGGTGAATTGTTCAATGACAGCCTCTGGATGCTGAAGAGCACACCTGGGCCAGGAGGGTGCGCGAGTATCAGCCCTGCCAAAGCATCAGGCTACCGGTTAGTCAGCCGCCATCTGCATACAAAACTATTGTGATTTGAATACGCCATCCAGGAGTGAGGCAACCACACATGATCTTTTCCAATTAAACTCTTCCTCAGATACAACCACAATTAAGGTTATTATATTATATATAATTACTGATTCTACTTGACTCCTCCTTGCTTAAACAAATATACTCTAAAAACACCTACTGAAGAAAATGTAACTTCTCCCCCTCCCTGGACAAAAAGCCCAGCTGCATACCTTAAAACAAATATCCTATTACCTTGTTTTTCCACGTTTCTCTTCATTTTCTGTTACGGTAAAGCATCACAAGCAGCATGGCCCCTCTAACTAAAACTGCAGGAAAAGGGTGGGGCTTTCTAACACAGCTCAAGCTGCACGTTATTTATGTTCGGTTTGAGACAGCGGCCAGATCCTCAGCTGGTGTAAACTGGAGAGCTGGGCTGCAGCTAAGGCAGCTCGGGGACTTCACACCAGTGGAAGACTTTGCACCCCAAGCCCATCGGTGCAGGATGCTCAGAGACGCCCCGCTGATAGCACCCTCCCAGGAACAGCCACCCAGCATCGCTGCAAGCCCTGCATGGCGTGTGCTGGAGCTCACGCCAACTTCGGGGAAAAAACACACCCTTTTGGGTCCTGCTCCTGCAGCGCCTGATGCTGCCATGGGGCTAGTGCTAGTCTGTGTGATGCACCTGGGGCTCATCATTTGTGATGCTAGGTCTAATGAGTTACAAAACCTAAGGCTTTCACTTTCTCAGGTGCTGTATTTAATAGAAAACTGGGCAAATGCTCTTACTTGGAGTTTCAGCTGTGAGAGCAGTATAGCCTACATGGCCCAGGTTGGAGCAAAAGCCATTCGGTGCGTTTGCCCTCAGCCGCGTCCCTGTTTCACAGGAAGATGAGGCAGCATGAACAGCTGCCTTCTCATTTGGACTAGAGCCTTTCACCACCGCAGAACGCTGCGGGCCTTTGCCATGGGCCACACGGTGCCTCTGCAGCCCCCTCCCCATCGCCAGAGCACGGAGAGGAGCCTTAGCACGAAGATGGCCCCGGCCCATCGGCCATGGAGGCTGCTGTGCAATGCCGCCCACGCTGTGCAGAAATCCCATCTGGTTCCTTACACATGATCAGCTTATGGCTGCTGCTGAAGTCTCACATGTGGCTGCATATCTCAGCCTGAAAAGCTGCGAGTGGGTGGCTCAGGCACTCCCCCAGCCCCTTCTCCCCTCGGCACGGGTGAGCTCGGAGCATCCTGCAGCAGGGAGCTCCCCAGGGCAGCTCTGTGCAGAGCCGACAACTAATTTCTTCTCCAAGTCTGTGTGCACATCCTTGCAATTTCATCACACAAACTGTATGTCTTATTACCAGACAGGGTAAGTAGAAAGGAAGGAATGGAAGAGTTTTCACAATGATCTTAAATATTTCGCTTGAAGCCCATTAGTTTGCAGGTTAATCCCACATATAAACTTTGTGTATGTCCTGACCTCAGTCTCTTTTACTAGGACCTTTTCACTTTCAGCCTGAGGGCTGACAGAGGAAGGCACGAAGTAATGTTTCACACAGGTTTCTAAACAAAATAATCTGGGAACTATTACAGTAATCAGAAACTGGATTATTTGGTTTCCACTAATCCCCTCTGAACAGGTTTAAACAAAATAGCAGGGTAATACCCTATAGCTCTTGTGAGACAACATGTTTCAACAGCTAACACGAATGTGGAAATCCAGGGACGGCCGCCTCCATGCTGCTCCTGCGAGCGCTGCCAGCAAGTGATCTCAAGACGGCCACTGGCCCTTCGAAACCCTTGTCTTCTGAGACCCCAGGACACAGAAGAAAATGAAAGCATAGAGAAGGGAGGAGGGAGCTCTTACAAAATTAATTGCACAAAAGTAAGGCTTTCTAACCCACCTGCTGCCTGAGAATGAACTCTGCACCTTTCTAGTATTAGTTCTGACAAATACACGTCTTTTCTCGATTTGTAAGATTAAGAGCTTCCCTGGAAAATCATCCAGGGGGGCATAAATGTTGAGAATATGCAACTTGGGGATCCAAGCTTCTCTAAGTGCTTTTGCAGGCAGAGGAAATGCGCAGCATGAGAATGAGCAGCCTGCAGTAAAGGACTAAGTGAAAGAGGAGTTCAATTACGACTAATCAGATCCAAGCACTAAAAGCGTTTGTCCAACGTCACCCTCACTAGATTAAAACTCTGTCCTTTTCCATAGCGGAGACTGTTAAACAAGCTCAGGTAGCATCAGAGACTCACGACCTCCATGAGCAACCTGCCACTTCTTGCTGCAGAGAGATGCATTCACAGCTTTTCCTACAAATAACCGTGAGCCCTAGCTACAGTCAAACTGTGGGCATCCTCTCGTTGCCCATCCTTTTGGGGCATTTTCGGCCAAGGACGTGCCTGTGCACGTTAATTGCACAGAGAGTTTTAAAGATGAGGTGAGGGACTTGCAGACCTAATTTTGGAGATCAGGACAAGCTCAGGGATTGGGACGGGGAAGGAGAGCAGGGCTGCAGGGAGCTGGCTGGGGCAGCCACAGCACGTCTCCAATGCAGACAGGCTCCAGCTCCGTGCCTGCTCAGACCACCCACGCCAGCCTAGTCCACGTGTGAGGGATCCCATGAAATAACTGCGTGTGCCTCGGTTTCTCTTGGCATGTCCCATGGGTGTCCCTGCGTTGATGTGGTGCTAGTCTTTCCTAACTGGTTCTCTCATCAGGGGAGAGAAATGGTCTCTCCTTCAGGACAGCTGGCGAGGTGGCACGGGGCAAATGGCACCACTGGGGACCGGGCACCTTTCTTCCCTGTCACGCTGGTGCCTCCGGGCACAAGTTAAAGCAAAGTAACCCCCACACCTATGGCAGAGGCAGCCAGGAGCCCCGTGCCAGTGAAGGCAGTCTGCAGAGCTGAGCTAAAACCAGGCGAGGGTCTGGATTAACCCTGCAGCCCCTTCCGTAGCGAAGTGGAGAGTAATGGGGTCAGCAGCAGCCCCCCCGAAACTGCAGCACATCTCCCTGCTCTTCCTTGAGACTCTGAGGAACGATTTACGATACAAACTGCGGACACCCTGAGGAACTACAGCCCACTCCAGCATCATGGCCCAATTTTTCAGGGTTTGAGGTGCAGAGGACTTTTGCACAGAAGATATGAGACATGAACATCCCAGCCAGGTACGTGCTGGTGTTCACACGTGGACCTAATGTGCACAAGCCCTGCATTTGGGTGCACACCTCCAGCGTGCACATGCATGGAGGAGGCACGAATGCACTCTGCAAGATAACATGAGATTGTTTGTGTTCATCTACTGTAACATTTTGTCCTCGGGACTGCAATTCATCTCACCTATTTTTAGCCATGTTCAGTGTAGATGACTGCATCTATGCTAGTTAACTCCTTTTACAGTCACGGCGCTGCGCAGCCACAGCTCCTCTCGCGCTGTGCAGGCAGGTCACATACGCTGTGCTCTGCAGGGGCCTGTTTCTCCCCACAAAGGGAAGCTAGCTCAGATCTAGCTATTTGCCATAAATCCTACACCAGACATCATTAAATGCTTTTAAAATCTTCTTATCCGAGCTCTCCTCACTTTCCCCTGCCTTTCCATGTCAGCCCTCCATGATGCTTTTTCCTTCTACCTGCAACTTTTCACATGATTTTTCCCTTCAGTTTCCTCCTTTTCCATCCCCTGATCAGCTTTTGCACTCGGTTTCTCCCAGATTTCCCATTCTGCCTCCAGCCCACAGCACCCGTCTCTCCTCCTGCTCTGCCCCCGCCACCACCCACAAGCCGACACAGCAGTGGCTCCATCAACCTCTGCCCCTGTCCTCGCGGGACCCAGCTCTGCCGCAGCTCTGCCCGCTCCTGCATCCCACCTCGGGGCACCCACTCACTTCCCCTCGCCCCCACACCCACCGCCACCGTGCCCCCACACCTGCACGGGGCTGTCCCCACACCTGCACCGGGCCAGTCCCCGCGTCCCCCCGTGCACCGCCCCAGCCCTGCACCCACGCAGGCTCACCCCACGCAGCTGCGCGCCGCCATCCCGGCTCTGCCCGGCCTCCTCCGGGCGCTGGTTTGCTCTGCGCAGAGGGGGAAGCCGCAAGGACGTGTGCGATTTACACGTGGCTAAAGCAGATTCCCAGATGGCTTCGCAGCTTCCCTTGTATTCTCTTCAGTCTTCCTGGCCTCCGTGGTCATTTCCCTTTTCCACCTGCCTTTCCCCTTTGCTCCCTTCCTGTCCGTCTTATCTCTCTCTCCTGGCCCTGCTCTCCCACGCCGCGCCGCTCCCTCCCCACGGCCGCCCCATCCCGCTCGCCACGGGCACCCGAGCTCTCCCAGCACTTACGGCATTGCCTCCACTTTGCAGCTTGAACCGGCCTTTGCCCGGCCGCAACGTGAGTGTCGCAAGCGGAGGACAGCTGAAAAGACAATCAGCGAAAAGCTGGGGAGCGTCTGCAGCTAAACTTGACAAAATCCTGGAGAAAATACAGTCAGAAAAGAGTTGTGCTCCAGTTCCAGCTGGAGCATGTGACGGGATCGAAAACCCTTTGTATGCCTCCGTGAGAACAACTAAGGGGAAAAAAGGAAATGGTGACATGATGAGACAGCAAAGAGGCAAAATGTGGGACTAAGGGGAGGAAAGAAAAAAAGGAAAAAAAAGAAAACAGGAAAAAACAGGTAGATTCTTAGAGGCACTTCACATGCTTTTTTAAAAGTTGCACTTCCTTTGAATTATCTGTGCTGGAGATATTTTCAACCCAGCTCCGCTTCCCTTGAAAGATTAATTTGGCATGCATTCAATTCTCGGATGAGCTTGCAAAACATGAAAGAAGCTGCAAGTGTCACTAAAATGTAGGACCGGCCTCAATTCTGAGATTGAGAACTGTGCATCTTCCTTCCTGACAGCAAAATGGTGTCTCTTATCCTCTCCCTCCCCACCTACCCTGACCTCCTTATGCTCAACTCCCAATAAAAGCAAGTTTATTTTTCTTCTAAATGGCATGGTAGGCATTGCAAAATTATGTAGGCTCCTGATCATGTTGAGAGGTTAACTCATCTGGAATCCGATCCAAGGACACCAAGGGAAAGATTTCTTCTTCACCCCCGGGTGCACATCATGTACATCATCAAAAAGAAATGCTCTGTTTGCTTACAGACACGGCAGTGGTAGACATAAGTCCCTTTGGCATGAACAACAGCCCTGATCTAGGAAGAGAAACTGCAGTAATTTCAAAATTGTTGGCTGCACTTTCACAAAATGTACTCAAACCATTTTTTCCATTGATCTGACGACTCTGGTTACTCAAACAGCTCCTCAGCCTACTTCCTGTTCTGCTGGAGAGCTCAGCAGCCCCGCTAAGAAACAGAGAAAAAAACCCCAAATTCTCACTTTACTTTGAGGTCATCAGAAATAGCTCTGGTGGATGGTTCCTATTTTCTTTCCAAAAATGTATTTATAACTTTACTCCCATCGGAGGGCATGGCAATCTGACCTGTCCTGCTCCCTGAGATGCCGTTTCAGCACAGTTGGTGAGCTGAGCCCGCGCATCGCTGCCAACGTGGTCCTCAACTCTGAGCGCAAGAGACCTGCTGTAGGAAGAGGGGGGAAATTCAGTCTTTGTGCCACATTTTGTCGCTGGTTCACCCGTGCTATGCTTTCCAAAGGATCCCTGATGGAGCCAGCTGTGGGGGGGGATTTTGCGATGTGGGCAGCTCTCTATGGTCTAGCCATTTATATAAACAATGCACTAACCCAGCCCATCTGTGTTTCATGTTTTTCTTACTCTGGATCAGATTTATCCCTCGCGTAAGCCCACCAGACTCAGTGGAGCTACGACAGAGTTGATTTGGCCTGATCTCACTCCAGGCTTGCAACTGAAATGAAGCGACGTTCTAGAGCGTCGATTCTTCTCCATAAAAATGAGAGGGAAGCGTAGTTCAAGGAGTCAGCAAGCTCTGTTCGTTGGCCCTGGTTCCTGCAGTAGCAAAAGAAGACAGCAAGGGACCAGCAGACAGCAGCAAATAAACACTTTCCAGTGAGATCAGCTGGAACTGCCACTGCAAAATCAGCCACTGAACCTACACCTGGAGTCTCCCTTGCTTTTCCAAAAACCGCAGGGTATTTTCAAGATTAGTGGTGAAATCTGTGGCTTTTCATTACCCAACATGAAAATTAATATGTCTTAGGGGTTTAAAGGGATTAGCAGGTATTTTCCGAAGTATTTTATCTTTGGAGAATTTATTCCCCCAAATTCTAATGCTAGCTGTGCTGCTTTAGAGATGTTAAGTGCCATCACATTGTTCGTGTTTCCTGGGCCAAAGCTTGTTTCTCAAATCCCCACTCCGTTCAATAAACACTGACACCAAGTAATAACATTCAGTATGTGTGTTGTAACGTGTGCTATGTTACAGCTGGCCGTGCTGTCTAAACCAACTTGGAATTTAATTCCCAAGCAAGTAACTTAATTGCATAGTATATGGAAAATGTTGCTGTTATGCAAGCCTCTGTTTTCTGACAATAGCCAGTAAAGCTGCTTTCCTCTCTTAATTTTATACCCTGGAAATATTCTAATTCTGTTTGTTACGCCAACAGTAGTTTTAGCTAGTTTTCCAAAGGCAGCTGCTCTCCAGAAGACCATCTGCATGTTGTATACAGTCTTCAAAACTGCCCTCCTGGTGCGATTTCGCTGAAGTTAACCCTGCAGATGGAGCACCTGAGAAAAGTGCGCAGCCCATGGATACACACAATATCCATGCCTTTGCTTTGGGGATTATTCCCTTTAAACGTGTAATAGCTCTAAGGACACGCTAAAAGGAAGAATATCCTTGCCTCCTTCCCCTTGGGGGAGCAAAGACACATACCTACTAGCTGGAAAGGAGAAAAGTGAACACTGCAGCATCTTAATTCAAGAGGCAAACTGGAGAACACGTCAGCGTATTTGATGAGAGAAAACTGAAATCCAAATAAATACCCTTAAAGCCGCTAGAGAACACTTGGCATCACTTCACACAGCACCTCTGCACCATTCAATGACAAGGTAGTTTAGGATGGTTCAACAGCCCTGCTTGGTGTTTTCCAAGCACTGTCGGAGCCTAAGAATACATATCAAAAGGTGTATACAACCTTCAACAGATTGTTGTCCAAATGCAATTGTTTAGTTGGAAAGTCAAGATTTTTGCTAAAATCTTACAATCTGCACTGAAGTGCTGGCCAGCAGCACTTTAATATAGCCAGAGCTGCTTTCCCATCTCCTGGCAGCTGCTTGTGTCAAAGATCTCTGAATCACCTTTACGTGTGGAAAAAGTGAGCAGTTTTCGAATTGTGTTTTATACCAAAGATCGACAGGGAAGCGGTGTGAGCCTCCGGGTGCAGTTTGCGTGGTCCTCGTTCTCCAGTGACCGCTTGTGTCTCTCCGTGCACCCCTACCTCCAGATTTCGCCTGAGAGATGAGTTTAAATTTCAGCGGAGATGCAAGAGTTGAATGCCACCTGCTATCCCAAACCTCACGACACCCGTACAAGCAGAAAGGCAGATTTTGTTTTAGTTGTGTATGGGCTTTTTGTTTCGGCTGGGGCAGGGAGGGAGAACTGGTGTTCTCCGTTTGTTACAGGAAAGCCGAATCGGCTTACATGCTCTGCCCTTCTGGCCTTTCTTTCCATTCAGCCCATTTCTCAACTGAGAGAAGCAGCTATTTCAATAGCCTGTTTGCCTGCTTGTGCAGTTTTAGCGTGAGCCTTGCCTTGTTCTCACAGTCCCCAGCTTTTGCAGTCAGGTGGCTGAGACTCCGAGCTTTCATTTTTAAAAAGAAAGTACATTTCTAGCCTTCTGGCTTGTAGAAAAGACTGAAAAATTGTCCTGAGTGCAAGTTAAAGGCATAGAAACTAGGAAAACAGTCGAACAAACCCAGCACTTCCAAAAAACAGCCCAAAACATCTGGTGGGTTTTAAGGCAATCCTCATTGTTTTGGGGTGAGCTCGGGTTGGCAGTGCTTTAACAGTAAATGCATGATCAAGGGAGCTGCAGAGCTGGTACACGCACGCTGTCCTCAATTCCTCATCTCGCTGCAGGCACGAATCGTCCCCCGCTGCCGTGGGACCCAGAGCCACCGCAGAGAGCGGGCAGAGCCGCCCTGGCTCCCACCGCTGCCAGGCCAGCAGGGAGCCCAGCCTGCTCCTCTGCTCGGCCACTGCCAGCCCCTCGCCTCGACACGCCTCGATGATAAAAACGTCTGTGTCCCGTCCACTCCATAAGATCCACCCTTCAGTAACACCAAAATTACAGCGGGCCAGAAAAATGCTTACAAACCTTCCTATTGCATGTAAAAGCCCGGATCTTCCCATGAACAAAAATGTCTTTCCTACGGCCCCTGCCTAAGAGGGGCTGCTGCTAAAAAGTTTGCCGTCCCGCACCACAGTGTCTTTTTTCTCCCTCTTTTGTGCCCGAACCCTCCCAAGACACAGAGGGAAGGGGCTCAGAAGACAGTCAAGGTAAATCTCAGCAAAGGAGGATCTGCTCCAGACACCAAGGGATGGACTTCAGCTGAGGAAACGGCACTGCGTGTCCCAACAAGGCAGAAAGCACAGCGGGGAACAGAAAACTCGACGATGGCTCATCCTATAGCAAACGCACGAATTCCTTCCCCTCTGTCCGGGGAAACTCTACAGCACGTTTTGGCTACAGCAAAGTAATTACTAGCTGTTTGCTCGTTTCCCTTTAATGAATCAGTTGAATGAGCCCAGTGTGAACGTCGGGGGAGTGAAAGTCTGCCATTCAGCTGTCTGCAAACTCCGTCTTCTCTGAAGATTTCTAGATCAGATTTCAAGGCCCCAGGAGTTTGGGTTATTTTTCTAAATGAGGTTCGACACTGCATCTTCCGGAGAAGCTGCCAGTTATCTACAAAACCTACAGCTCTTATTCATTCGATACCACAGGTTTCAGTTTGAATCACAGCAAAGTGTGGTTGACCTCAGATTAAACTAAAATACTTGCTCCATGGCATTAGACTTAGGGGTTGGCCAGCACGGGAGCTGGACGGAGAACAGATTTTTTTACATCAGAGCTCAACCAAAAATCTAGGGGATAGGAGATGTGCAGGCTAGGCTGAACACCGCTGAAATCATGGGGCTGTGGAAGGAAAACTCCAAAATGTCTCATCTGCAGCCAAAGTAAAAGGAGGTGTTTCATTTGGGGTTATGTAAGTTGTAAAAAACCTTTTCTCTTTTCTTCTTTCAATGTGTTTTAGCGGTGAGGTCAACTTTTAAGTGAAAAATGCCATATTGAATCAAATCTACATTTCAAATGCTTGCAAAACATAAACAAACCATTCCCAAAATGAAACAGTTCATTCTGAAAGTGTCAGAAATGACACGCATCGCTATTTTTAACGTCCCTCCCTCTTCCCCCACCTCTGTATTTTTT